GAAGTGACTTTGGACGCGATTTAATTTGATTTCCAGACAGCCATTCGTGAGCATGGCAACTGGCAGGACAAATCACAAAGTAAAAAAATTCTAAACAAAGAACACTCGTAATGAGTAAACGAACGGTAATTTAATCACGCGTACGTTTCGTTTCCCTCCCCCGTACCAATATCGTCAATGTATATCACCAACGCCATCCCCAATCGCGCAATCGGCGTCGCGTTGCGAAACGAAGCAGTGCAACTCTGTGCGTGTCGGACAAAGCAGCCCACGGAAGTGGATGTCACTGAGCTGCCTCTGAGATGCCTCCGAGTGACCTCCGGTGCATACCGCAGAGGGCAGAACTCTCTCCCCGCTCGTCCTGCCACGTGAGAGTAATGCTCGTCGTATAACAGTGAAAATAATATTTTCTCACACCTGGAAGAGAAAAAAAAATTCTCCACGATGAGCGCAGAACCAAAACGAACGTGGCGATTTGTTTTGCACGGATGGCTACGTACGCTGCGAAATAAGTTCAACATACAGTACAGTAACATCAACCCAGTGCGCTTTAGAACCGGATCGGATCGCACGCGGGATTGCCTGGGTTTTTGAAGCCACCATCTCAGTGGTGCTCTGCGATCAAGCATCCGAAGCTCCCAGCCACCTCAATGGTTCGTACATTTTCTTGGTTCTTTCGGTAAAGTCACGTAGAAGGGAAATAATAAAATAATAAAAATAAAACATAATAAAATTCCTTTGTCAAGGCGCCCCTTCCCCCCTCCAACCCAACTTAAATATACGCTGCCAAGCCTGGTGGTGCCCATTCAGACGCTGTCTTTCCGACAGACTTGTTCTTCACCTGAGAACGGCTGCTTGCGTTGTGGCCGAAACATCTTGAGAATTATTTTATTATGTTTCATTTTTATTATTTTATTATTTCCCTTCTACGTGACTTTACCAAAAGAACCAAGAAGATGAATCCCTGCAGTCACGAAAGCTTTAAATCGAGATTCGTACATTAATTCCTCTTTGAAAGACATACGAGTAAAAAGCCAATTACGACGATGCAGCCTACGAGAAGAAAAGTTTTATTCGTAAAAAAAATGTTTTTGCTTTAGGCATATCAAACGAAACGGCAATGAATTGCGTTCATCGCCGCGCGTCATTCAAGATCGCATAATACCGATCCTCTTCTTCTTGATGAATCGTCGTCATCATCATTGCCAGCCCCACAATTACGTGAATCAACATCTCAATGGCCTCCACTGCGGTCATTAATCGTACGGGCAAAGGGGTCAATAGCTCTTCCATCCCAGCGGCCTTTTATATTTAATAACGCAAACACAGGTGCGCTGCTCCCGAACGGCGGGAAGGAATTACTCTCATCGTGCCTTGGATGCGCGCCATGTAAATAATAATCTAACGGAACATTTCAACTTGTGATGCGCCGCACTATATTTGGTTCACTCTCGAAGAGAGAGAGAGGGAACAACAACAACTCGGGGGTACGGGGAAGAACCACGGACGGAGGAGGAAATGCAGCCACGCGGCGAGGATCCGACGCCAACAATTGCCCAAGCTTTGCGGACCTCCATATATTAAGGTGTTATCGGCCGATAAAGCAGAGTTTACATGCGGGAGGAAAATGGAGCGCCCGGGAGAAAATCTATGCGTGCTAGGGGGCAACGCTCTATCCCATGCGGATGGAAGAGGGGGGGGAGGGCTCCACATTTGCTTAACCACCTTCTTCTGGCAAGCTAGGGTATGGCACCTCATCGGCACCCATGGGAAGGGAGTTTTGGAACATTTGTGCGATTCACCAACTTTCGCTGCCTCCACAGTGTTGGCTTAGAGGCCACGTTAAATGGTGGTCCAGATGTCTTGTGACCCCCATTTAATTTTATACATATCTTTTTTTTCAAATAAGGTTAATTTAAAATGAACGTGCACAGGGAAAACTAAATGTCAGGAGTCATTTAATTGGGGGGGGGGGGGTGGCGAGGGGGTGTCACAAGACATCTCGACCACCCTGGACATAACCATCATTGCCAGGCACAAACATGTGATCACCACATTGCAAGGGCAATGCTCTCGGCCTTGTCAAAGCCTTGGTAAAAAAAACAACTCAATAGAGCCCCGTCTGGGTGCCAGGGCCATCAAGGGTTGGCGTGCTGTAACAGCAGGCGTCAACTTTCAACTTGTACTTATTTCCATCTTACAAGGAGGGCAGATGATTTAAATTAAGTGTGGCTGTGCGTTTACCTTACAGGTATCACATGCAATGACGTTGTATGTGACTGTGGGATGACGTTGTGTAGGTATAACGTGTTCCGCTGGGAGGCATTGAGATCAATCCTCCATACTCTTAGTTTTCAAATCTAGAAATCAATCCTCCACTCTGGAGTCTGGCGCAAAATAGTTTAAAAAATTATTTCTTTATTTTTTTCCAAGTAAGGCCCACTGCGCTGTATAACTCTTGATCAGACGCGGCCTGGCCGTCACAAATGATAGCTCAACGAAGCGGCTTATCGCGTGGAAATTCATAGCGGCCAAATACCCTAAACGCGCGATGTCGATTCTAAATGTGGAGGGGAAAACACCTGAGGACCCGGAGAAAAATCCACGTGACCACGGGGAGAGAAAGACACGCAAACTCCAAATATACAGCAGCAGGCGTCAAGGTCAGGATCGAACCCACGACCTCCTGTACACCAGGCGAGGTTGTTAACATCTCCTAGCCACCGTGATGATGAGAGAGAGACACGCAAACTCCAAATAGACAGCAGCAGGCGTCAAGGTCAGGATCGAACCCACGAGCTCCTGTATACCAGGCGAGGTAGTTAACATCTCCTAGCCACCGTGATGATGAGAGAGAGACACACAAACTCCAAATATACAGCAGCAGGCGTCAAGGTCAGGATCTAACCCACGACCTCCTGTATACCAGGCGAGGTAGTTAACATCTCCTAGCCACCGTGATGATGAGAGAGACACACGCAAACTCCAAATATACAGCAGCAGGCGTCAAGGTCAGGATCGAACCCACGACCTCCTGTATACCAGGCGAGGTAGTTAACATCTCCTAGCCACCGTCCGGTAAAACACCACCCGTGAGTTGCATCGAAGGTTCACAAGAAACGTGAATGGGCTATGCTCTTAGTGCACTGATGTAAGGACGAGGACGACAGATGGTGGAGTGAACATCTACTTTTCATTTTTTTTCCTTTTTCAAATTTTAATCCCCCTCCCCCCCCGAGTCGGATGAACACCAGCAGTAGGGGTCGAACCGACGACCTCCCGCCGGCGAGGCGAAAGCTCTAACCGCTGCACTGCTGTTTACCAAATGTCCCACGGTGCGACACTCGGCACTAATGAGTGGAACATCGAGTCTGTCATGCAGCGTGCTGGCCACCTGCTCTCCTTGGCCAATCCTCACTTAGTGCCACGACTAGACCATCACAAGTTGCAATATTGCCTTTTTTTTAAGACGGTCATATATATACTTTTTTTTGAAAGATGGTCAGATGGAATATTTTAGAAGCTGTCGTTTGCCCTCCACTGACGTTGCGGTGAATGGTAGCGCTTTCCAGCGGCTGCAAGGGTCGCGTGAGCATAGGACATACTCAGTTTTACACCGTGGGCTTTCACGACCAAACATTATCATGACATTTTTTTGGGTTAGATCGCGTAAATATTTCTGTCTAATCACAATTCTGGCTGATCGCCTAATGAGTCCAACAGCTTACTATTGGTGTTTCAAACCAATATTATCGTGCATTTCGTGTAAGCAAAGTGTCCGACATTCTGGGTCTCATCAGAAGGCTTGTTCAACAAAATCCTACTGGATTACCAGATGTTATTGCCAAGGATACTCGACGTAAACTGTAGGAGCCCATTAAACTCAAACACAACTCTGGCTGTCGCCTGATGAAGCTGGTTGTAATCACCAGGGAAACGTCACAGTACACGACCTGTAAATGTTGTGGGTTTACTCTCCAACACTCCGGGGTGCTGAAGTAATAACTAATTGGCACGTTTTGTTTAAGTGAGAAACCTTACTTATTGACTGTGTCGGTTGGTGGCGGGTTTAAAGACATTGATATTTATGCTAATCTAACCCAACAAAACACCTTTATTATAGATAGGGCATACAGCAAACCCTTCCCCATCGCGGAGGTTGTGTTCTTGAAATTAGCCGCAATCAGCAAATCCGCGATCCGAAAACCCAAAGGCAAATGGGAAAACACGGGGTTGATTCGGGTTCATAATATGACACCCAAACCTCCTTTTATTTTACGTTACCCTACAATCACCCAAACAACAAAACAGGACGTATTTTGAATGTAAAATAGCATTAATATTTTCTAGTGTCACATATAACTTGTGCGGGAAATGTATAAAAAGAAAATAGTTAATGTTGTCAGTACTCCACACGTGTCCGTGTGCATTATTGTACACCACAGGAAGAAAGCATCGTGCAGGCGAAACCTCACTACCCCCTCCCTGGCGGCTGGGAACACCACGTGACCCGGGACCCACGATGGTCCGCTTGGGAGACAAGTCGGAGGACGAGACAGAGACAAGACGGAATCGAGACGGCGCCTCGTGTCTTCTTCTGGGGCATCGTCATCGCGAGCAGTACAGTTACGACGCGTACAGGAATCTCAGGGTCAACGGCGATTGGTGGAGCCACTACAGGGGGACGCGCGATTGGCGAACTCTCTACCTCAATAAAATTACGCGCAAACCCACGCCAGCTAAACCCATGCCAGCTAAACCCGCGCCAGCTAAACCCACGCTGGCTAAACCCACGCCGGCTAAACCCACGCCAGCTAAACCCTCGCCAGCTAAACCCACGCAACTAAACCTTCGCCAGCTAAACCCTCGCTAGCTAAACCCACGCAACTAAACCTTCGCCAGCTAAACCCACGCCGGCTAAACCCTCGCCGGCTAAACCCACGCCGGCAAAACCCACACCGGCTAAACCCACGCCGGCTAAACCCACGCCGGTTAAACCCATGCCGGCTAAACCCACGCCAGCTAAACCCTCGCCGGCTAAACCCACGCCGGCTAAACCCACGCTGGCTAAACCCTCGCCGGCTAAACCCATGCCGGTTAAACCCACGCCGGCTAAACCCACGCCGGTTAAACCCATGCCGGCTAAACCCACGCCAGCTAAACCCACTGCCGGCTAAACCCACGCCGGCTAAACCCACGCCGGCTAAACCCACGCCAGCAAAACCCACGCTGGCTAAACCCACGCCGGCTAAACCCACGCCAGCTAAACCCTCGCCAGCTCAACCCACGCAACTAAACCTTCGCCAGCTAAAACCTCCCTAGCTAAACTCACGCCGGCTAAACCCACACCAGCTAAACCCACGCCAGCTAAACCCTCGCCAGCTAAACCCACGCCAGCTAAACCCACGCTGGATAAACCCACACCAACTAAACCCACGCTAACTAAACCCACGTCGGCTAAACCCATGCCGGCTAAACCCACGCTGGATAAACCCACGCCAGCTAAACCCACGCCAACTAAACCCACGTCGGCTAAACCAATGCCGGCTAAACCCACGCTGGATAAACCCACACCAACTAAACCCACGCCAACTAAACCCACGTCGGCTAAACCCATGCCGGCTAAACCCACGCCAGCTAAACCCTCGCCGGCTAAACCCACGCCGGCTAAACCCACGTCGGCTAAACCCTCGCCGGCTAAACCCACGCTGGCTAAACCCACGCCAGCTAAACCCACGCCGGCTAAACCCACGCCAGCTAAACCCACGCCAGCTAAACCCACGCCAGCTAAACCCACGCCAGCTAAACCCACGCCAGCTAAACGCACGCCGGCTAAACCCACGCCAGCTAAACCCGTGCCGGCTAAACCGACGCCAGCTAAACCCGTGCCGGCTAAACCCACGCCGGCTAAACCCACGCCGGCTAAACCCACGCCAGCTAAACCCGTGCTAGCTAAACCCACGCCGGCTAAACCCTCGCCAGCTAAACCCACGCCGGCTAAACCCACGCCGGCTAAACCCGTGCCGGCTAAACCCACTCCAGCTAAACCCACGCCAGCTAAACCCACGCCGGCTAAACCCACGCCGGCTAAACCCACGCCAGCTAAACCCACGCCAGCTAAACCCACGCCAGCTAAACCCACGCCAGCTAAACCCGCGCCAGCTAAGCCCGTGCTAGCTAAACCCATGCCGGCTAAACCCACGCCAGCTAAACCCACGCCAGCTAAACCCATGCCGGCTAAGCCCACGCCGGCTAAACCCACGCCAGCTAAACCCGTGCTAGCTAAACCCACGCCAGCTAAACCCGTGCTAGCTAAACCCACGCCGGCTAAACCCACGCCAGCTAAACCCACGCCAGCTAAACCCACGCCAGCTAAACCCACGCCGGCTAAACCCACGCCGGCTAAACCCACGCCGGCTAAACCCACGCCGGCTAAACCCACGCCGGCTAAACCCACTGCCGGCTAAACCCACGACGGCTAAACCCACGCCGGCTAAACCCACGCCGGCTAAACCCACGCCAGCTAAACCCACGCTAGCTAAACCCACGCCAGCTAAACCCACGCCGGCTAAACACACGCCGGCTAAACCCACGCCAGCTAAACCCTCGCCAGCTAAACCCACGCAACTAAACCTTCGCCAGCTAACCCCTCCCTAGCTAAACCCACGCCGACTAAACCCACACCAGCTAAACCCACGCCAGCTAAACCCTCGCCAGCTAAACCCACGCCAGCTAAACCCACGCTGGATAAACCCACACCAACTAAACCCACGCCAACTAAACCCACGTCGGCTAAACCCATGCCGGCTAAACCCACGCTGGATAAACCCACGCCAGCTAAACCCACGCCAACTAAACCCACGTCGGCTAAACCCATGCCGGCTAAACCCACGCTGGATAAACCCACACCAACTAAACCCACGCCAACTAAACCCACGCCGGCTAAACCCACGCCAGCTAAACCCGTGCCGGCTAAACCCACGCCGGCTAAACCCGTGCCGGCTAAACCCACGCCGGCTAAACCCACGCCGGCTAAACCCACGCCAGCTAAACCCGTGCTAGCTAAACCCACGCCGGCTAAACCCTCGCCAGCTAAACCCATGCTGGCTAAACCCACGCCGGCTAAACCCGTGCCGGCTAAACCCACGCCAGCTAAACCCACGCCAGCTAAACCCACGCCGGCTAAACCCACGCCGGCTAAACCCACGCCAGCTAAACCCACGCCAGCTAAACCCACGCCAGCTAAACCCACGCCAGCTAAACCCACGCCAGCTAAACCCACGCCGGCTAAACCCACGCCGGCTAAACCCACGCCAGCTAAACCCACGCCAGCTAAACCCACGCCAACTAAACCCACGCCAACTAAACCCACGCCAACTAAACCCACGCCAGCTAAACCCACGCCGGCTAAACCCACGCCAGCTAAACCCACGCCGGCTAAACCCACGCCGGCTAAACCCACGCCGGCTAAACCCGTGCTAGCTAAACCCACGCCAGCTAAACTCACGCCAGCTAAACCCGCTCTAGCTAAACCCACGCCGGCTAAACCCGTGCTAGCTAAACCCGCTCTAGCTAAACCCACGCCGGCTAAACCCGTGCTCGCTAAACCCACGCCAGCTAAACCCACGCCGGCTAAACCCGTGCTCGCTAAACCCACGAGAGGGAAGGCTTTACTTTACGTGAGTTAAACCAATCATTAATTCGTTGCTCGTGCTGCTGCCGCGATGACAGCGGTGCACGAGCACACCTAACAATGAACTTGAAAACACACATTCGTCAATAGCACTGTGTGTGGCCTTAAGGAATAGTATATAATAGGCGACGTTTCGGTCAATGGCCCTATACGTCATAGCACGTGAATTATTTGCGTGTGCTTTTAAAGCAGTTCTATTGACGAATGTGTTGCTGCGTTTTTGAGATATGACTTGAAAAATATTGATTCTTACGCACGCGTGTATTGTATTGTAATCTTAATAAATTACATGAATCGATCAATTGATGTATCTTTCCCACCCTAGTGTATATAGAGACAAAGATTCCGCGTATAGCCTGTAACAGACTGTTGGGGCAAGTGCTGTTAGCGAGCACCTATGAAGACCGGCACGGCTCACGAAGGTGTGGGTGGCCAACACCACGCCCGGCCGCCTTTGTCTCCCCAGTGGTGATGTTTTACACTGCACCAGGTACTCATTTGAGGCTGAGTCGACGTAGGGGAGGCGCAGGGCCGCTTTAAATAATCATCACTGGTGTTGACCATGAGAGGGAATCGAACTCGAGTCGCCGGGTTCGTAGTGCAGCACGCTAACCACTACAATGCTGCTGCTGCCCACTGTATATAAACACACACACATCACAAGGGTAAGTGTGGGGTTTGGCAGGTGAGTGCAGTGGTTAGCACCCTGCAAGCCGAACAGAACAATCGGCGTTCAACTCCTGGGCACGGCTATCATCAGTGGCGAGTGCCATCGTTAATACTGGATGCCGTTCCTTCACCCAACGTGAAATTGACCAGCGTGGAGAAGCACGGTCAAACAATGCAACGTGACCGACACGGGGCGAGGAGGCCTTGATCCAGCAGTCGATTTAACAGAGGACTGTCAATAATAATTGTGTTGCTATACGTCAACATTACAACGCTGTCTTCGTAAGTATATATATTTGTATCTATATATAAACGGGTTAATCGGGGCTGGGGTTGCATGTACACCTGGATTGACCTTTGACCTTATTTACATCTCAGCATTGCCACCTGTGGAGGAACGGTGGGAGGATAATTATAGAAAACAAATTAACGGCCAGATTGGGAAGGATCATTTTAATTTGGGTCCGAGACACGCAGCTTTGCGTTTTTTTTTCCCTTTTCCCACCCGGCTGTTTATAGCCGCGAGCGGTGAAATCTATTTGGTGGGTGGGGGTAAAAGCAGACACGCCAAATGAGCGCGGTAATTTATAGCGAGTGCGCTTAACTGCATCGGAAGTGTCCCCGGGTGCAGCGGGTAGCTGCGGCTGAAGGGATTCGTAAGGTCAAAGATTCGCTGGCCAAAAGCCATAAAAGTACGAAAGCAGGAGGCAGGTTAGGCAACAGTGAAGTGCGCGGGGTCACGTGGGGTAGAGTTGGGGGGGGGGATTTTCCCCCAAAAGGTGGGATTTTTTGGGGGTTTTTAGAAAGTGGGAGGGGGGGGGGGTACATTAGTTGCGCCTACCAACGCCCGACCTTCAAGAGCGAATCCTGAGATAAGTACATCTGGCAGAAGCAGATGTAAAGACCGGGCCGTGCGTCGCGCGGCGGCTTATGACGGGCGGCGACAGATGACGGAGAGGTGCGGGATTATCCCTCGTGCACGCGCGTAAGGGAACGTCCGTAAATGACGTCACGTACCTAGAGGGGGGGGGGTCAGACATTTGTGACGATGTGTGACGAGGGTGGGGGGGGGGGGTGAGAAATGTGACGTCACATCAAAATGCGCAACTTTAAATAAATATAGACAGCACGTTCTACTTAATTAAATATACTTTTTAATAAATGTTATCTCCTACAACATCAGAGTGCAGCGCCACATTAAATACGCACTACAATGACAATAGTTTAAAGCGATTTGAAGCATGTTTTATTTTGAGGGAGGGGGCAGAGCTTTGTGACGTCATATTTCAGGGGGGGTCTGACTTTTTGTGAAGCCGTGTGACGAGGGGGGGGGGTCAAAAATCGTCCAAAATCGCGTGACGTCAATTTTGGACGGCCCCTAAGGACCAACGCAACACCACTCGCTGTAATCAAACGTTAGCCCCCCACCACCACCAACCACTACTGACGAGGGCCACGTCGGTTGTGCCTCACACTCGAGCTAATCGTCACTCTCTCTCTCTCCACCAGTCGAGTGCGAAGCAAAATTCCGCCACGAGCTCGAAGCGGAGAATTCGCCCAAGCCCCAAGCTGCCATTCTCCGTCGCCGATTCAAAACAAGCCGCGTCACGTGTAGAACACAAGACAAACTGGCAACAACAACAACAACAAGATAGTCTAACAGGTTCAGGTGCGGGCCCTGCAATTGCTCGCTAATTGTCACTGCTGATGGAAGAGCTCTAAAGCAGAGGTGGAGGCGACGGGGGGGTGAGCACTTTTGCCAATAAGACATCATCAGTGTGACGGCTACCACATAATTTGTTGAAACAATCGGGGCTTGACAGCAGCACGACGATGATGGGGGGGGGGGGGGGTATTCACACGTTGTGTATTGTCGGGGGGCGGACGTCAGGGGCCGCACTAAAGGCCACCAGAGGCCCGCGGGGCCTTGCAGTGAAGACCGCTGCTGTGGACTCAATATAAAGCCCTACACCGCCCCCCACGCAGAAGGGTATGTTTGACCCTTCCCTTTCACGCTGGTCCAGACGTCTTTGGAAGACGTGGGGAGTACCCACAGTTTTCCCCACCACTACCACCACACGGGCACGTGCCATCCAAGACAAACGACTAAGTGCGGTGCATTTCATTAATATCGCCCGGATGAAGAGAGGCAAGGAGGTTTTATCTGCCGCGTGCAGGACGTTAAAATCCAACCCGGGAGGACCACATCTCTGAATCACAGGTGCAGCGCGCTCAGCCACGGCACTTCGCTCAGCCACGGCATTTTTTCTGGTCCCGTAACAGCCATCAATGTACTGCAACTGTAATACATTGCTTATTCATCTGTAACTATTATATATGTGTAGTGACATAGAATGAGTCACTGGAGCGCGTAGCGCTGGGGACTTGTAGAGAATGGCATTGGGGGTAGCAGCCCGTTCTACCAGTTGGATCAGTGGGCGAAGCCCGGAGCCTTCTGGGGGGATCCAGAAGGGAGGCGTGGCCGAGGGCGGAGCCTGTCCACGTTGGGGAGGATAAAAGGCGAGCTCCGACTCACAGTCGGGGCTGCCGTCATCCGGGATGGAACTCGTCGTGCCGTCAGTCGTGGTCTTCGCCTCTTCGAGCTGTGGGTCTGGCTGCCCCGACCCGGTGTGTAGTTATCCCCTATGGCTGTGAAGGCCGGAATAAAAGAGAGAGAGAGAGAGTGGCTCCTACTTGTGTCTGTGAATTAGTACACTACATATGTACTGTATGTCATACCTTGCATGCATGTGTCCCAAGGTCTACTCACGGGGCACACCAGTTTCACTTATTCTAATATTTCCCTGAAAAAATAAATAGAAGGGGAGATTGTAATAGCTTTTGCCCTGCCATACACATAATACAAAGACAAAGATCCCCCATATAGCATTAATAGATTGTAGGGGCAAGTGATTTTGGCGAGCACCTATGAAGGCCGGAACGGCACACGAGGGGGTGGGTGGCTAGCACCACGCCCGACCGCCTTTGTTTCCCCAGTGGTGATGGTTATACACCGCACCAGGTACTCTTTGGAGGCTGAGTCGACCTAGGAGAGGCCGGTTCACATAATTGTCACTGGTGTTGACCGTGACTGGTAATCGAACCCGGGTAACCGGGCTCATAGCACCGCGTGCTAACCGCTACACTTCCGCTCCCCACATACATACAACAACCGCCATTCGCCACTAAGTGGTGGTGACGTCACCAGGACGCTTGTGCCAGGCCATGTGCACCTTGAGGCCACGTGAAGTGTCGAACGCCCGCTGGCAGGAGGTCACGGGGCAGACCCAGGTGCCATGGGTCGACTGACCGAGATGACCGAGATGACTGGCTGATGCACCACCTGTACCCCCTACTGTACCAACTTGCTGTGCTTTAGCTCACCCGGCGCTCCGCTCGTTGTTGTGAGCGTCGCTCCTCCGCCCTCTGTTGTTGTTGGAGGGCGACATCTGTACGTGTACATACATACACGTACAGATGCACACACGCACACACTGGAGTTACATGAGGCATTGTGATGCACTGAGCTGCCTCGAAAAAATTGGATGCGCAAGCTCGCCAAGACACTGCTCATCTTTGAATGTAAAACAAATGATTTGCTGAAACTGCAGTGGCAGTGGTGCCCAAGCACAAATAAAAATAATAATATATAAATCCGGCACGTGCATCAATAGCACTGTGTGGCCTTAAAAGGAAAATATATAGCGGGTGACGTTTCAGGCAACGGCCCTCATTTTCGTGCTATTAAAAAAGGCCATTGGCCAAAAAATAAAACGCGTGTGTAAGAAGCAATGTCCTTCAATCCATATTTAACAAAAAATAACTCAACACATCTGTCAATAGCACTGCCTTAAAAGCGCATTATATCATCCATGTGCTTTGAAGAAGGGCCATTACCCGACACGTCACCTCTTGCACATTTATTTTTAAAGCCACAAACACGCACACGCAGTGCTTATACATTGGCGAATGGGTCCGAGTGCTTGTTTGTAACTTTGAATTTAAACGCTCGGCCAGAGAAACGCGGCCCCGAGCGGACGGCTCCTAAAGACACCTCGGGAGGGAAGGGGGGGTTGGGGGGGGGGCAGTGCCCTGCCCGCCCGAGAGTTGGAGAGACGCCTTTACATTATTTGGTTTGCTGCTATCAATTTCCACACGACTGCATATCCATCAGCCACTTCGTTGAGCTATCATTTGTGGTGGCCAGGTGGCTTCTGAAAAAATGGCGTCGATGGCTCAGCGAGGCCTTACCTGGTAAAGAAAAAAATTGTTTAATAAAAATTTGCTAATTTTTTATATTTCAAATAAAAAATAGTTGAATTAAAA